AAAGAGGTCTTTGTTAATAACAAAACAAAAGGTAGAAGTGGCAAAATACTGCAAGTGTCACAAATCCCAGAGTCTAAATTTAATTGACAACACCAGATTGTGCAATAAAAGTGTCCACAAACTCTTTGTGATCATATACACTTTTACCTCTGTAAGTCAGTTCATATAAAACACTAGCAAACCAATAGGTTATCACAGTTGTCTTCTGCAATAGAAACTTACAATTTATTTTTAAAAATACAACCAAAATAGAATTTACAATTTTAGTCAAGTTTCAAGACATTTACAGCGACTTTTATACAACAACAAGACAATTACAGTGGAACTGCTTACATTAAAACTGATGTACTAGCAAACTAGAAGCCAAACAAAACGAGCAGAGCAATGACTAACTGACGCCGCAGATCACACACACAAGATATGCACTGACAGGGCAAATCTGTGAGTTCAGATAGTACCGCAATGAAACTACTCCTGGTAAAAAAAACTTTATGAACTTATAAATACAGCGGTTATACAGTCTACCAGTATGAAACAAGCAACCTGGTCACATGTATATATTTACAACATACATTTTTAAGAAAAATGTTTTAAAACTAGTGAGTTCATTATGTATAACATTACTCTCATCTTTAATGATGGGATTCTAAAACATACAAATTTACTAATTTTTCCATTCATGCAGTTTATACTAAAAATCACTTTTCTTGGTCTCCAGATGGAAAATTTTAAAGCTGTGGAAAATAATCTTGTCTTTTCATTGGTAAGGAGACTTCTGTTTATTGGCTAGTAAATGCCACAGTGTGGTTAAGTCCTGATTGGGTGTGAGAACTGTAAGACTGACAAAGATCAGAAAGCTGAAAAATAAATTAAAGGTTAAAAAAAAAAAGTCACAAAGTTATTAAATTATTTTAACATCCATGGTGGAATGAAATTCAAAATGCGCATTTTTGTTGGTAGATCACCAATGTTGCTAAACAACATGAAAAAGAGTAGGAATAGCCAAAATTTCATTCAGTAGCAAAGAACATTTATTGATAAGAAAGATCAAGTAAATCACAGAGCTGGTCATGTGAGATCATGTCATCAGAACAAATGGCTGTTAAAAACATCAAGGGCCTGAGTTAAAAGAAGGTAATCTAACAAGGTCATTTAACTGAGCAGCAGCTACCTTATAAAAGCCAGAAATGGAAACATGGATACTCATCCCCGTATTAATTTACCTGCTTTCAAGTTCCCATTCCTGAGAAAACCCACTTTGTGCCTCTTTTCTTATCAAAAAGATGGAATTTATAGTTTAAAAACTCAGAATGATTGATGAAAAATCTTGATGAGCGAAGTGAAGAAGGCAGAAGCAACAAGCTGCACTACGGGACCATGATGAAGACAAGACAGATTACTTGCCAGGCAGCATAGGGTACTCCGCAACCTGCCTTAAGACAATACTGAACTGAATATAGTCAGTTTATTATCATGGAAATTTTAAGAAAGCTTTGGAAAAAAAGGGTTACTTACCTGTAGCCAGAGCTCTTTGAAATGTGTTGGTTATATGCACATCTGCTCTGCAAGTGTCCAAACATCAGAGGTATTCAAGATCAGAAACTGGGGGTTTGGGGCCCTCAAACTACTATAAGCAGATGCTCACGCCTCGCTCTTTACTTGCACCTGACAGCAAGTCTAGAGGATATAATATCCTGACAAGCCATGACAGAAGTGTATACAGTTAGTGCATAGATGGACAACACACAGGTAATCTCTTGGAGATAACTCAGCACTCCCTAGGCCCATATTCTCAGAAAAAGGGGGCTCGGGGAGACTTTTTCATTCTTTGGTTGAAAATGTCTTGAACTTGTTAAATCAAGCTCACTAGAGGAATGAAGTTTGCATTGTCCAGTTTGCAAAGATAAGAAATAGCTATTACTGAACAAACATAGATAGAGAGCTATTAAGGGTATATTCTGATTATTGGTATTTTATATATATAAATACACACACACACTATATATATATATTCTGGTAGAGACTTAACTATTGTTTTCAAAACGGAGGTGACCATTATCTGGTTTGGAGATTTCCCATTTGATTTCTCACCTGTGAAGATAGCTAGATTCAAGGATGTCTGAACGCCTCTGTCCTATGGCAATAAGAGTATTCACTCACAACACAACATTTGAAGGGTAATCTCAGGCTCAGAAATAAAGAATTTGAAAATAAATATATGTATGAGATAATTTCCTTCTTTAGGGAATCTGGTAAAAATATCAGATGAATCCCAAGGGATTCTTCGAGAAAAGAGCAGTAAAAGGTGTGTCAATGGCAAAAGTCTTCTTGTGGGGTTTGGATCTCCTGCTGTCCTAGAGATGATAAGTAGGAAAAACAGCAGCAAGAATGTTTCAAACACCTGAGTTTTAACAGTCTGATGAGAAACACAGGTTCAAGGTTCTTGTGCTCTTGAGTTAACACAGCCCAAGAAAGAGATGAGACCACTCTTCCATTGACCCGACAGTCAATAGTGATGGAAGAAAACTGAAGGAAACTTGTCTTCAAAGAGGCTAGGAGACAAAGAGGAAGCACGAGGAGGTAAAGTTCTCCTCCAGAATGCTGCTCTGGTGAAGGTGGATGAGCAGATGCAATTGCTAAGAATATTTGCCTACAAAAATGCTAGTATTTTCTCAAATGTTTGTGTGGCTTGCAGATGCCATGTAGAAGGCCAAACTGGCTTTGTTTTTTTTTTTGTTTGTTTTTTTTTTATTTGACCAGATATACGCCTGTTATGTCATATCACATCAGAGACAAACTCTGAAGATCTCAAAAATTTCTGCAAGGATCTGTGAGATATTTACTATGATCTGGGTTATGTCAGTCTGGAGAACACTGGTGCGAAGAGGTATTTGCAGTAGACCTGGAGAATTCTTTCAGGAGTATATTGAATATCAGCAGGGAAACCATCTTCAAACTATTCCTGTTGCTTAAAATAGCAAATTTAAGGAAGCAACCAGCTTCCTGAAAATGCTTCAACACAGAGGACAGCAAGTTACGCCTGTTATGTCCTGAAATACAGATGGGGCCAGAAGCATCACAGGGCTAGCAAACAGTGCCAGAATTTCTATGCAGAGCTGAATTGAGGAATGAAACACTTCCCGACTGTAAGTTGGGTTTAGGGACAGCAGAATGGGCAGGCATATACCCCAAAAATCACTGGGCAGGGAACAAGCACAATGTTGGCAGAAACTCTTATTTCTGATTCCCATAAACCTGCCTCATGGAACACAGAGAGCATAAGCACTAGAGAGAAGCTATCCTCATACTGCATGAACTCCGAGGAACATGAAGGAAGAGCCGAAGTCCTCCGCCCTACGAGAGGTGCGATGTTGGGAGGACTCAGCTGCCAGGGCCAGCTCCAGCACTTGAGGTCACCATCCAGGAAGTCATCAAATGACAAGACAGACCGAGGAGACCCGATTCATCAGGTCATCGGTAGCGAGTGCTGTTCGTCAGCACTGGTAGGACAGCTCCCAAAACACACGCTCAGAATACAGAACTTGTGCTTGGAGAACAGGAGCAGCTCACTTGCTGGCACTAAGAGAACAGAACAATTCACTGTCAGAGGCAGCTCCCTGGTGCTTGGGGGCTGGTTAGGATTCTCAGGTGCTGACAAGAGCTACAGAACTCACCCCAGCCTCACCCTGTAGCCCCTCAGTGCTGGTGTGGCCTCAGAGATGCTGGTGCAGAGCGATCACCTTACAGGCGATCTTTGGCAAAGCAATTTTGGCGCAACTGCATTTCTCTTGATCATTCACGCCCTTCCCATGCTGCCAGAGAAACAGGAGACCCACAATAAACAGGACTGGGCCTCAACCCAATATTCTGACCATCCTAAAGGCTACCGCTTTTACTAGGACACTTCTCTAATTTTAAGCAACAGATAGTACAGTTTTCTAGGGGTACAGCTTCATGTTGCAAAAGGAATGCAAGGGCAACAGAGCACAGGAATAGGCTGCCTGGTTGTAAAGTCTCCTTCTCTGGAGATGCTCAAAATCTGCCTGGAGGCCACCCTGTGCCACGTGCTCTGGGTGTCCCTGCTGGAGCAGGGGGGTTGGACTAGATGATCCCTAGAGGTCCCTTCCAACCCTAAGCATCCTGTAACTCTGTGTGAAGCAAGAAGAGCCCCCATCAGTGCTACACGGCAGTGAGGTGCACTCCCGGAGACAGAAAAGAGCTTGCACCTTAGCTAGAGCCATAGAGTACGATTCGGGCAACATGCATCCGGTGCTTAGACCCATTTCTGATAAGGAAAGGAAAAGCAGGGGAGACAGTGAAGATAAGAGGGAGAACAGATTCCACAAATTCAGTTTTTAAAAATAAGCATATAGTTGGCAAAGAGAAGCACACAGCCAAAGGTTGACCATAATAAACCATCCCCTCAATCCCATGCAAGGAGAGGTGAACAGATGCACAAATTTGAAAAACACCATATTTTGCTTCTTACAGAGGTGGTTAGAAATTAGAGGTGCCTGCAATGCCTCTGTCTCTGTGCACTGAGTATGGAGGAGGAAGGGGCAGCGTGAACAAGCTCTAACTTCCGAAGCCAAAACCCAGGAGGCTGTTCTCTTTGCATACGTGCAGCACCCACTTCTCTTAGTTTTCCATAGGTCTACCAACACATATCACTACAACACGGAATTCCTTTGCATCCACAAAAACAACTAGTACTGACCCTTTACAGCTTCACTTTTGATCAACTGCACCAACATACAAGGAGTATTTTTGAAATGTGATCTTTCTCTCATTTCTCTGTACTTGAAGCAGTATCCAGTGTTTCATTCAGGAAAATATATATATATCAAACTCTCTCTTCAAAAACAAAAAATCAGAAAAAATGAGCTTGATTAAAAAGGTTGTTTCCATGGAAACCTTGGCTTTTTCAGCATATCAGACCATGTACGTTCCATTCAATCAGGGAGAAAGCACTAGCAGCAAAACACTGAAAACACAACTCAGAGAAGAAAGTTAATTTATTTATCTAAAAAGGTCAAACCAAGTTGTGATACCTTAGTTCAGCCAAAGCTTCCTCAGTTTCTTCACAAGCCTGGACTTTATAAACAAATATTCCAAGTTCATCTATCTACAAAAATAGGATGGACAGTTCTTGATTTTCTTCAGATACCAAGTTAATTTGCAAGTCCTTGAAGACCAGATGAAAAACAGGAAGCGATCCTATATTCCTTAAGCCACTCCACCACATTCCCAAGCGTATGGGAAGGGAGGGATTGCAGCCTTCTTCGGAACAGTGCTCGGGAAGGCCTATTGCCATCTCTTGGAGACAGGGTACGCATTTACATCACCATGACTGCCATGGTACAGAATCCTTGAGCTCTGCTTTTATACAGCATGATCAATTATTTGCGAATTGTAGTCCGCCGTCTCCATTCGTAGAATGTATGGGATGATGCTGTCAATCTGGACGTTGCCAATTAGTCCTGCAAAGAAGAGCTCCTCGGTAATGGCAGCACTCATCAGCCTAAGCGCCGGCAACCGGAGAAGAAGTCTAGACAGTCTGAAAATAAAAAAAATGCTGGGCTGGGTAAAAAGTGTTATGCAAATGCTGTCACACACTTTGGAGTGATGCATGATTATATTCTCAGTATGGAAATAGAAGAAAAGAAACAACAAGGGACAACACCAGTCAAAACTCAATATAAATAGTTAATGAAAGGCATAGATAATTAAATCAACAGATTATATAATTTATGGCCAGTCACATCTTTGACAAACAAAAAAAAGCAATGTGCAAGTCAGTGTAGATAAATTGTACAGTAATGTTTTGGCTTAGAAAAAGATCAAATAACCCAAGAGAGTGCAATTCGAACTGAATACAACTAAAATATTGCCTTGTAAATGCAAAATGCACTCGAGCCTCAATTTTGGAAAGTAACAATAAATGAGTACATATAAGTTCACTAAAAGTAACTTCTTAAATTGACATATTTATTACAAGAAAGAGTGCACAAACCAAGATCATAGATGCTCTAAAAAAAAAGTAAATGAAGTAACCATGGAAGTTCACACACCTGTAAGTATCATCTGGATATGCTTTTGTTACATAGTCTTGGAACTCCATGTAGGCCTTTTCCTGAAATTTCTCAATCTGTACTACATTTTCAAGACCAGGGTGATCTGAAAGACATACTACATTATTATACTTGCTCTATGTGACATGCTAAAATCCATAAATCCATACAGATTATCCGACTGTAAGCATGCTCAAATGGTTATTTACTAGCTGTTTCCAGCAGGCTCAACAGGACACCTCTTTACCTCCTTTTTCATGTTGATATTTTACTTAATTGCTTACAGATACAACCAGACACTGTAATGAGTTCAAATAAATGCAGCGCTCGCAATATTTAAGATAATCTTCATGATTCAGCTGTGTTGTCTGTATTGCACAGAATGGTGTCATAGTGCAGTCAGACTTCACTAGATTACTGCAGGCATACACAGCATTTGAATCAGAGGTGAAGAATAACATTAGGATCAGCTGAAAAAAAATAAAATAAAAGGCTATGGCCATTTATTCCCTAACAACTGTGGAAGATATGCTTTTCAGCAGTCTGGTACAAAATTTTCCAGGGTGCTAAATATAATTGTCAGCAGCAATTTAAAAATATGAAATTTAAATCTTACTAAAAAGAAGAGGTATTAATCCAAGTGCCAAGTCACATTTGCAAATTACTCTCTGGTACTTCTAAATATTTTAGATGGTCTGTAATTTATTACTTGTCTGGCTTAGTGCAAGTATACTACTGTCACAGTATCATGATGAATCACAAATTGTATTTCTGTGATGCGATCATATACGATTCCTACTTGCAATCACTCCTCTCCCAATACATGGCCTGCCTTCACCAAAGCCAGGAGCCAAGATCAAGAATATTGACTTGAAGAATGTACACTGTCATTAAAGCAGCTATACATCGTTAGGGTCATCACCTGAAAGCCCCGAACTAAAGAAAAATTCATCTCTGTGGTCTGACCCGACAGTCCTTTGGTGGGATTTGCTTCCTGCTACCTTTGCTATTGTCAAATGTAATTGGAGGGAGACAAATTAATTTCAGATCAACTAAGTAAGTAAACACTGTTTTGCAAGTGTAAGTACTTCATAGCGAGGAAAATGTTTTCTGGTTTCTAGCAGAATTGTTTTTTCAGAGATGCCAACAGATTCTACGACAAAACCTAGCAGACGTGGTGCCAGGGGAATGGACTTTAGGTATTCCTCCAACATTCCCTTTCTTTTCTGGAGCAGCCTTCAAAGCCCCAGGAATGGCACGAAAGGGCTGCTTGGGGGCATGGAGTATCCCAAGCGTTAGCCAGGGTGCTGAAAGCATCACAAGCCATTGCCCACCCTCCCCTGCCTTCCCTTAAAGGAAGCCCCTGGCGCTTCTGGTGGAATAGCAGAAGTCCAGACAAAGGGAAAGCCCTTAACAGCTAGGGACTGTTCCAAATGCAATTATATCCACCCGAGCCACTGCTTATCAGAAAGCTCAAATAGTTCCTGTGCTTTAGCAGACTGTAAAAGTAAGCACATAAAACACAGTCATGAGGACTAAGACCAGGGATTACTTCCTATAGCGAAAATACTCAGGATCTGATTTTCCTGCAGAGGTGCAGAATAAGGAGGTGGTCTCCCTGGAATACCTTCCAGAAATTTCTTGTCTTTACGATAGGGTTCTGGCACTACTTATACTGCTTCTTATTTGAAAATTCTTTCACCTCAAAAGGCTTCCATTAATGCAGTATTAAAAGAGGAAATGGAGGATAGGCAAAGTTTTGCTACTTCCTTAGATCAATTCCATGGATTTCTGTACTGGGAAATGCGGAGCCTCTTTGGAGAAAGAGAAATTACCATATATGAAAAGAATCATGTGACTACAAGGGAAACTGGAAAGCGAGAGCCCCACAATTCTTATACACATACATGAATGTATGTGTGCCTGTGCATACATGTCCATAAGAAAATTTGCTTAAAATTCACATTTTAAAAGTGTTCCCGTTCCAGAAGTTTTTCTTGTCTCAATTAACATCTCTCTGAAAGGGTGAGCTGCAACTTACTGGGAAAACAGAGTTCTGAAAACTAGTAAATCTAATGAAGCTGTAAAACGGACAAGAATCAAACTCCCTTTTCTCCTCCATATTCGGACTGACCAGATTTATGTTGAATACTCTTGCCAGCGCCCTTCCTCTCATGGGATAGGTTTTCAGAAAAACTGGCACTTTAAGAAATAATTTTTTTTTGAAGCACTTTTATTTGGTATTTTAATGGAATAATCCTTATCAATTTGATGTTGCACTCTGGCAGGGCTTCACTGCCATGCCATGGAGCCGCGGGGACGCCTCTGAAGTCACGCCATACTTTGCATCTTTTCCCTAACCAACTGGACAAGTTTTTTTGATTAAAAGAATGAGCTTTACGAACCCATTTTTTTTGAAGACATTATCATTTTTTCAATTTTCATAACCCAAACTGATTAACATTAAATAGAAGAGCAAAGTCTTCACTGCCACTGAAAGAAACATGCAAAACAAAGGAAACGTGAATACCCACTGCAGACATGGAGTAATCACTACGAATAAGACAGCTTTTTAAAATAAACTCTTTTTTTTCTTTTTTTTTTTTTTAAATATGGGACATCAGTGTCTAAAAAGAGTAGGGGCCATAAGGAATAAGCAAGCTGTTGATGCTTTTCAAACTTGCTAATGCAAAATGCAGTGACTGAAGATTACACTTCCTAAATGTGACAGTGAAAATGTCCTGGAGATACAAAAATACTTGAAGCATATATAACTTCCTTTTACACAAGAATTTTTTTAAAATTATTATGTATTATTTTTATCTAAACTCTGAATGATGAATCTAAGACCTGAAATATACCAGATAAATATATATAAAAAATTTTTTACAAGTTTTCTACCGTGTGCCCACGCATATGCATTATGTAATCTAACAGATCAATCACTAACTATTTTAACCAAGGGAACTCTCTCTTCCATATTGATGGCTTCTCTCTTAGAAGGAAAAAAAAATAATCGGTACTTCATCTTTGTCTAATGTATGCCCATAGACCTTCTTTAGAGTATATTAAAAATACTGTCGAGAACTTAGAAATAAAGAGTATATGGGATGTTTTCTGGTGTTCGGTCACCATCTTCAGAAAGGCTTTATACACCAATTTATTTTCATAATATCCATAATACATATTTCATAAGTAATATTATTTTTATAATATTACTTCATAATAAGTGAGGTATGTTATCACTGTAATTTTACATGCGGGAAACAAAGGCTCAAAGAGACTGCTTCATACTTCAAAACTCAACTTCAATACACTCCAGTTGCATTTGCAAGAAAAACAGTTCTGAAAAGTAAACTCCAGATCCTCAAAGAGTGCCCCAGAAAGAAGGCATAAAATTAAAGTTTAGACAAGGGTAAAATTTTAAAAGCTCCAGAGGAGCACTAATTTCTCTTCACTAAAATATTAACCCTCCCCTTTCTACAGCGCTCTACCTCACGCATTACACACTTCCTAAGATTTCTCAACAAGTGGAGCAGTAGCTGCATATCATAAAACAGGCAGAAGCTATATGGCAAAAAAATCCAACATATAGATAAGTAACTCCTGGCTATTATCACATTGTTTTTGCAGTGCTTAGCATAGCTAGGTCCCAACTCTGAAAAACAACGATCATTAGGAATTACAAGCGAGCTAATCTCAGTTACCACTCAGCCTACTTATCTGTTGTTACTTCTCCACTTTCCGAAAATCTGTCTCAAACTCTTTCCATCATCCCTTAAAAGAATATTAAGGAAAACCTATCTAAAATATGGCTTTGCGGAAAACGTAGCAAATTTTCAGTGGAGTGTTTTCAACAGACTTTAGACCACTAAAGATTTTGTAGTCAAATAATAATGTTTTACATTAGGAATAATTACATACCAGGACTGAAGAGGACGATTGCTTTCAAGTAGGCATATTCATACCCATCCAGGCAAAGCTTGACCATACTGTTGCAGAATTCTTGCAGCTTGAAAATATGCTCCATTATGAGTTTTCCTCTGTCTGTTGGCAGCTTGTCTAAGTCACACATACACAAAATATAAAAACCCCAAAGTCAACACATATGCAAAAATGTCGTCACACTGGATTTTTTAGAAACAAATGTATTCATTACTTTATTGGGTTCATACAGCAGGAAACGTAAGCCATCTGTAGACTCGTATAGTAGGTCTGAATTATCTAGAAATCAATTCTGATTGAATTGGGATCTGTGGCAGATCTGTGCCCTACATCTTAGAATGGATTTCTGATTTGGGATTTTTTTTTCTACACTGCTATGGCAGATCTGTGCCCTACATCTTAGAATCAATGATGTATCTTGGCATACAGAGGATTACTTTACGCAAAGATCACTCCATTGCTGAAAAAGACGATGCCTCAGAATGAATTATTCAGTTCCTTCCTTACAAAAAGAGGAAAAAAGCCCTGTTGGGGCCTTAGTGCTTTTTGCAAGAATATAAGGAACTGAGGTAATGGGATTCGAGGTCACTCGGAGGACAAGAACGTGCTCGTGGACAGTTTCAGGGGGACTAAACCGGCCACAACCAGATAGACGTCCGGGAGACCCAGCAACAGAGCACCGAGAAGAACACCAATCAGCTGCAAGCTAGCTCTGCATGGACACTATCGCCTAACCAATGGGAATGCTGTTGCTTAGCGCGTGTCCACGTGTACGGGTGTCGGAAAGGTATAAAGTTCTGTTGCAGACAATAATAAAGTGAATTGAACCTGCTTCACATTGAAGTGTTGTTCATTCCGTCTCATCTGGTGACCCCGAAGTGATCGCGGGTAACGCGACGGATCCTGCAGCCAGCGGAGAAGTAGC